GATAAGGAGTATGTACAAGATGAGAGTTTTGTACCAATGTTTTTGAAGCACTTTGCAACCCCAAAAAAAAACATCAATGGCAGGTCAAATTGAACTCTCTGGTCCAAAAAGAAGGTGAATGTGTGGAACATATGCCTTCAAATTCAAGAAATTACTAAAAAGGGTTGCCCCTAGAAAAGCCCTGCCTAAAGAATATGTCATATGAATATTCATTAGAGGTCTACAAGGGAACATAGCTTTGTTAGTATCAGTAAAAGACCCTGAAACCCTGGATGATGCCATCTCTGCCACTAAAAAAATAGAAGCCAGAAGTTATTATGGAAATATCACTGTGCGAAAAAAAGGAAAAAGCAATAATGATTGGGAAGGTAATATGAATGAGTTGGTGCAACAAATCCAAGAAATGAAGATCGCTACAATAAACTTGCCACTTTGTTGACAACCCAAGCTGAAGCTAATAATCCAAAAATGAGACTCCAGCCAGAGTGACCACGATGGTTATATGTTACAAGTATGGTGAAAAGGCCACTATGTAAGAGAATGTCTGACCGAAAGAGAAGCCCCAGTTCCTCTTGAAAAAAAACTAGCCCAACCAAGTCACACTCTAAAATGTGAGGTTGAAGCCAATTATGACAATGTCAATGATGACTATGATCTTGAAAGGGAAGTCTTCGCAGGAGAAAGGTACCAACCATACCAACATCAGAACAATAACACCCACCAAACTCTGAATCACAATGGAAAGGTCATCTAAAAAGTAAAAACAATGTTAATACTCAACCAAGAGAAACCAGAAAAACTTATCCACTAATCAATGATGATGATTTAATACAATATAATAATGCTGCTGCTCCCATTAGGCCCCCAGGAGAAAAAGAGAACCGTTGGTAATTGATTCGTTGGCCCTGTACAATGTAACTAATGATATTTTAACTAAACCTTCAAGTGCCACAGTTGGACAAATGTTACAGTACTCCAACCAACATAGGAATTTGGCAAAAGCCCTCCGAAGGCCCTTGATGATGGAAGAAACCTACTATGTCGATGTTGGTGAAAAGAGAACCACCACAGCAAGGTATTACGTGAGAATCAGGAATAATTCTGTAGTTGCAATTCTGGATTCTGAAGCTGCTGCTAGCTTTATTACAAAAAAATTGATGGATAAACTTGGTCTGAAGATTGAAGAAAGGTCCACTACGATCATAGTAACTGCTACAGGTATACGAACAAGAATGCTAGAAAAAATTAAAAGCCCAAAATTGCGGTTCAAGATGTACCCATTCCTGGTTCACTTCAAGTAATTGAATCAGTTGATGAAACCCTTTTGTTAGGTAATGATTGGTTTGAAAGGGCTCGGGCCCATATACATTTTGATGAACAAAAGATGATCTTGAGGTATTTAAAAAAGATCAAAGTTTCAATTTCTAACAATGGATCAAAAAACTGTATCAACTGAAGAAAAAGTTATCTTGAAGGTTCTATTGATGATGAGGATGATATGTTTGACCAAGTAATCTATAAAGAAGAAGAAGTAGAGGAAACAGAAGGTTTCTTTTTTGAAGGAGCAATGAGTGATGAAGACGCCAAAATTTTGCTAACCCTTGGCAAGACATACAAAGCCCCGCAACATACCTGTTCCATGTTGAAGAATTGCTCACGACCCCTGTTGAACCTGAAACGAAAGACTTAGAAGAGAGAATCAGCGAAATGGACGTTAGTGAAAAATTAAACAGCGAGCATCAAAAAGGAGGCTAAAGAAATGCTAAAGAAGAAAAAGATATTTTTGCACAAAATGTTGAAGAACTTGGATGTACCAACCGAACTGACCATGTAATTGACACAGGTGATGCTGCTCCCATTAAACAAAAGACATATAGAGCTACCTGGTGTTCAAGAGTTCATAAAGAATGAAATAACCCAGTTGAAGGAACGTGTGTTGATATGTGAGTCCCAAAGTCTCTGGTTCTCCCCAATTATGGTTGTACCCAAAAAAGGCAGTAAATTGAGGCTATGCATTAATTATCGTAAGTTTAATGCCATATAGATGATCTCCTAGAAGAGCTCTCTAAAGCAAGATGGTTTAGTATATTGGATTTGTTAAGTGGCTATTGGCAATTGCTCGTCAACGAAAAGGATAAAGAAAAAACAGTGTTCATTACCTCTTTCGGAATATATGAGTTCAATATTATGCTATTCGGCTTGTGTAACACCTCTGCCAGTTTTCAATGATTGATGAACAAGATCCTATTTGACTGTATTGGCAAGTTCGTCGTCATGTACTTAGATGATATAAATATATACTCTAAATCTTTCAATGAACATTTAAATTATATTAGTATAGTCTTCAATAAGTTAAGGGAAGCTAACTTAAAACTAAACTATGAAAAGTGCACCTTTTACCACCCAAATATCTACTTTCTTGGTCACATTGTTAGCCACGATGGAATCAAGCCCGATGAAGCAAAAATTGAGAAAGTGAAGAATTTTTCAATTCCAAAGACCCTCCAACAATTGCATGGTTTCCTGGGTTTGTTGTCGTACTACTGGCGATTTATTAAAAGTTTTGCCACAATTGCTCGCCCCCTACACCATTTGCTGAAAAAAGATGTTGAGTACAAATGAGAAAAAGACCAAGACCAAGCCTTCAAGACATTGAAACATCACCTGATCATGACCTCTATTCTGAGATACCTGATTTTTTGAAGACCTTTTATATTCATACTAATGCCTCTGGTTCTGGACTTGGTGCAGTGCTTGCACAGAAGGATGCTGATAGAAAGGAATTCATAATCTCGTATGCCAGTCGAGGACTAACACCTCCTGAGAAAAATTATGCTGCGACTGAGTTAAAATGTTTGGCTGTCTTATGGGTAGTAGAACACTACCACCACTACTATGGCTTGAACCCATTTATTGTTGTTACTGACCACAGTGCCTTGAAATAGTTAAAAACCTCAAAACTTACTGGTAGACGTGCTCGTGGATGCTTTGTTTGCAACCTTACAATTTTACAATTCACCATCATAGTGGACGAAAACATAGTAATGCAGATGCGTTATCTCGAATTTGACCTCCAACAATAAAAGCAAAACCAGTAATAAAAATAAAAATAAAAAAAATAAAAAAATAAAAAAATAAAAAAATAAAAAAAAATAAAAATAAAAATAAATAAAATAAAATAAAAAAAATAAAAAAAAATAAAAAATAAAAAAAAAATAAATAAATAAATATAAAAATAAATAAATGAGAAAAAAAAAAGAGAGATAGAAAGAAACTTGCCTTAGACCCGAGGAACAGAATCCAGTCCAGGTTTCGGTATCCTGGCCCCCCAATAATAATAATAATAAAAAATATATATATATATATATATTTATAACATATAAATATTTATGGATCCTATACATTACAACTATCTGAAAACTTACCT